AGAGAGAGAGAGAGAGAGAGAGAGAGAGAGAGAGAGAGAGAGAAACAGAAAATAAGAGCATAATGGACAGGGAAACATTGGACCCAACTAACAAATATCATGTATTCAGAAATGCACTTGTTTTTCCAAATACATCAAGATATTTCCAAGTTGCTACTTACGTGTAGCATAAAGAAACATGATCCAAATCATAGCCAAGCAACGGTTTGATCCACCCAAACAGCAAAGGGGACATAAGACTGTTGGGTAACAAGCTGGCACAGACTGCATTTTAGCTTCCATTTTGGAACAATCAGTTAGTATAAGATTATAGAATTGATCTTTAAGAATAGTGACAGAGTTCTCCAGCTTCTATGAGAAAAAGTATTGAGAAATAACGTGTAAAAATGACTATGAAGCCCTTTTGTCCATGTGAAGTGTTCAGTAATAACACTAAAATTGGGCATTGTTGTTCTCTTGCCTGACAATAATGGAAGGGAAGGTGAGACGTGCTTTCGTTCATTTTTATTTTATAGTATTGCTTTTCTTACACGTCTCACTCCTGCATGCAATCTCCCATTTCATTCTTACTTATTAGAAAGCAGTACAGGAGACATGAATACTAAAGTGGCCAATGCAAAAGAAAAAAAAAAAAAACCATGCCTCTTGTCTCTGCAAGCCCTAAATCCTCAGCACAAGCATCAGAGGAAACAGTATCCACCGGGATCACTGTGTGCTTCTTTGTAACAGGTTTCTTACATGCCCAAGTTTTCATGAAGTCCACATTTGAAGGACTTTATACCTTTCTCTGGGCAGCTCTGGAGAGATGGGTAAAGGTAATTCCCAAGCTCTGGCTTCCTGTCTCCTATGTTTCAGATAAGAGGGTCTATGCATGAGGTGCTTCTTTGTTGGCTTTCTTTGGGCAATGTCAGTAAAAAGGATTTCAAAATACAGGTCTATCATTCCTTGTATTAATGATGACCTCCCATTAATGATGTTATAATTAAAAATTACGGAGCTAACCGAGTTTTCTTCCTGAGAAACAGGAAGTCCCTCTACTCTTCAATTGATTAGCAACTGTATCCTCTACTTTGTAGTGCAAAGATCCGGGGACCTTCTATTTTTCAGCCTTAAAAAATAAAGAAAACGTTTGTGTCACGGTTTCCTGCCTCGTGTCCTCAAGCCTGTGGAGAACACTTGGGTTGAATGCATTCACACAGAAAGCCCTAGGGTTGGTTGTGATCAATTTCTTTTATTCTTTTTTCTTTTTCATCAATTTATTTTAGAAGAGTCATGAAGATCAAAAAACTAGTGGGCATTTCATACATGTTTTTAAAAATATACTTTCAATACATACCAAAGGAATAGTAAAAGAGAAAACAAACTTTGTTAGACATTGAACTTCAGTTCCAAGAGTGAAATACAGGCTTGATCATATTCAACATCTGAGCAATGACAGTGGGTTTAATTGTTGGTTATTTGGAGAATAATAAGACTGCCTGAGGATACATACGGTAAGGTTTCTGCCCTTGGCTCTTCTCTTTCTTGATTTTGGTCCATTTCTATTCTTTGAGTGTATAGTAAGAGGAAGTCAAGTTAGGCAAAAGGTAGTGATACTTTCTTGTAATTGTTTGTTTTCAAGGAAATAAAAGATAAGCTCAATTGGGGGTTTTGCATTTCTGAGTTTCCTTTGTTCCTATTATCTTTATATTACCAAGAACCAATACCCACAAATTACTTACTTTCTAGACAGGTATACGCAATTTATAGATAGTGCTTTTCTCATTGCAGAAGACCTTCCAGAATGATTCTGAAAATGCCTGGGGAAAATTGAGACTTATTTACAGACCTCATTCTTTTATTTAGCAAACAGTTACTGAATCGCCATTCTGTGTTGGATGGTAGGGTAGAACATGCATGAAATCATCTCCTCTCTCAATAACCCAAGGAGACAATTACAATACAGTGAATTAAGAGATACAAAGGAAATCCCAGAGTACCGTGTGAGTGTGAAATGGGCCACTGATTTAGACACAGAAGGAAAGGGAAGTGCTCTTAAAAGTGACTTTCTTTTCTTCTAAGAAAACTGGTAAGAATTATCTAGGCAAAGAGGTGGATGGGACAGCATTTTAGTAAGAGGGTCTAACTTTGAAAAAAAAAAAAAAAGGAACTATATAATATGACAACTATTTCAAGTGTCCGGACAGATTTAAGAACTAAGAGTCTGAGGCTAAAGATGTAGCTTAGTGACAGACTGCTTGCCTGGCATGTGCAAGGACTCCACAGAATCACCAAAAAAAGTAGAACAGTTTTAAATTTTGAGTAAGGAAACTCCTCTAATTTTCATTTAAAATGTTAGTAAGAATATAGTGAACTAAAGATTTTATATACAAGCCTCACAGTTCATTTCTCTTAGCTGAAAACTTTTTTATTTCAGTTTATGGAGCAACCATTTCCATAACTTTGGACAAAGAAAAAGGAGGAAAAATTGTATCTTGACTTTTTAAATACGTTAGCAACTAATTTTACCTTCAATGAGCTCCATTCTAATTTGAAATACACGGCTGCACACTGCTATATATTTTGAATTATTTGCTTCTGTGTATTCACGCACCAGTGCATTAGTGGATTTTTCATAGACTTTTTTAAAAATATGTGCAGCGGTCACTCCAAGTACTGTATTTCAAGTAAGTTGGGTGCCCAGAAAAGTCAGTTGACTTTATTTGACTATCTCTCATTTATTACTGGCTTTTACTTCCTTTGAATGCAGTGATTACTTTTTCTCCAGGGATTAGAATGTGTACAAATAATCCCAATGCCTTCTTCACACGCAATCTATGTTATTCACTACTGAGTCTGACCTGAAGGAGGTTCAAGTCACGAGGGCTGCTTAAGTTTGCTCTGTATCATTCCTAAGAAAATCATAGCAAAGTCTGGCAAGCCATTAAATGTGAATACTGAAAGACTGAATGATCTTGTCCAGTCTTCTCATCTTGCACACTCATTTGGTTCACTCAGCAAATGCAATTATCTTCTATATCACAGCGATTGTGCTAAGCACAAACAATATAATCCTGAGATAAATATCATGTCCTCACCAAGTTTAGAGTTTAGTGATGGAAACCAAACATTAATCAATAATTCCAGGTAACAATATATCATAACAAAATTTAATAGTGCTTTAAAGGAAAACTATAAACTACAGATCTTGAGATGAAGAGACCTGATCTAGCTAAGGACTTGTGTAGAATATCGCCAAAGACTGGCAGTTGTGCTCAGGATTAGGGTGAATAAGAGTTAGATATGCACCCTGGTGAGGATGTGAGAGAAGATTGCTCTGGGTTAGTTAACAACAAGTGCA